CGCACTTCGATCTGCACGAGAATTCCCCGCAGATCCGGGCGCACGGCAAGAAGGTGATCGACGCGCTCACCCAGGCCGTCCACAACCTGGACGATATCCCCGGCGCCCTCTCCAAGCTCAGCGACCTGCACGCCGAGAAGCTCCGGGTGGACCCCGTCAACTTCCCGGTGAGTCCTTCCTCCGGTCGCCCACCCCCGCCGCCGCCGAGGCGCCCCTCGCCCTTGCCAGACTCCCTTCCTCCTCCTCCCTCCGGCCACGGCCTTCTGGCCACCAAACGCCGGCAGAGGGGCGGGCGACCCCCCCTCCCCAGGGCGTGTGGGCCGAAGGAGCCTCCCCTGCCCCCGATCCACGAGCCTCGCTGCCGGCTTCTGACACCCGTTTTCTCCGCAGCTGCTGGGCCACTGCATCCTGGTGACCCTCGCCTGCCACAACCACGGGCCCCTCAACGCCAGCACCATCCTCTCCATGGATAAGTTCATGGCCGTCACCTCCAAGGCGCTCGTCGCCCGGTACCGCTAGGCGAGCCGCCCCGCGGGAGGAAAGCCGCCTCCGCCGCCCTCTCTGCCCCTCGACATCCGCCCCCCCACACCTCCTCCTCCTCCTCCTCAGAAGACGAAGAAAAATAAAGTTTTTGGCTTCCAGTGCAGCCCGGTCTCCCGTCCTTTTTGGGGGAAGGGAGTGGGGCGGAGTGCGGGCTTGTTCGCTGCTGGCTGGCGGTGGGGTGGGGTCCGCCCAGGAAGGGAACAGCGAGTCCCCCCCCCTTCTGCCCTGCCGGTCGCCCCTGCTTTGGTTAGACGCGCAGCCCTTCGGGATCACGCCAGCCGAGGGGCAGCCGAGGGCCCCCACCCGCCCTTCACCGTTTTCCAGACTTCTTTCTTTATGCTAAAAGGAGAGAAAAGGCCACTTCTAAGAAACCTACGGCTGACCCTTTACAAACACACACACACACACACACAGACACACAGAGAGAGAGAGAGAGAGAGGTCGGCTGCCCACACCTTCTGGATGGCACACCTCCGTCCCCGTTTGACCCTCTGCGAAGGGAGGGCAACTTCCCCATGAACGGGACCTTCGCCGCCCCACTTTCCCCTTCCCCGCCCGCCCTCGGGGCTCCCCTTGGAGTCTCCTCGCTGGGCAGAGACAGCTTTCAGAGGGCCTGAGAAACCGGCGAGTCCACTCAGGGATGGGGCTTCTAATCCTGCTGTTTTCTGAATCGATGGCATTGCCTCCAGAGACGGCGACTCTGCGTCCCGGATGGGCAGAAAAGGCGGATGGGCAGAGATGGGGTGAGGAGCCGGGGCCTCCCGGAGGCCGTGGGTAGGTGGGTGGGTGGCCCTTGTTCCGTCCTGGCCCTCCGGCCAGAGGCGGGGACACACCTGGTCCGCGGGGGGGCTTCTCCTGGGGGGTCTTTGTACCCTTCGCCAAAGCATGGGGGAAGGGAGGCTCATCTAAACAAGCGGGGCCCAGGAAGCGTGGCTGCTGTCCAGGGCCGTCCATAAGGCGTGGATAGTATCTTGTTTGGGGGGGGGGGGAGACACCTGGGGGTAGCAGGTGGCAACATCTGGAAGGCCTCACACACACACACCCTTCCGGACTTGGGGCATTAAGTGGAGATCAGCTCCGGGTGAGAAGGGGCAGCCCCGCTCGGGGGCGGCTGAAATGTGGCCGCAGGAGCCCGGAGGGGCCACAGAGGAGTTGGGGGGGTGGCAAGCCCTTGTCCGCGCCCAACTCCAGGTCCTTCGGCGTTCCTTCGGCTCCCGCCATGAGTCGGGGGCCACCAACACCCCCCCTCGGATCTGGCCGCTCCTTCTTGGGGACCAGAGGTGGGCTTCAGTGGTCTCGGAAGGCCCATCCTGTCGGGCCTGGCCAGTTTCCTCCGTGGCCATGCCAGATGGGAACTGCAGTGCCAACGGGGGGGGGCTACTCGGGAAGGGCAAACGGCTATCGTGAGCTCTGGCCACTAGGGGGCAGCAGCTACCAGACTTTAATCATCATCATCATCATCACCATATGCCGCCCAGCCGATTCTGATTTAAGGCGACCCTTCCCAAGGTGTTCCAGGGTGTTTCCCCCTTCCCTTCTTCTGGGACTGTGCACCTTTTGCCCACGGCTACCCAGACTGACTCTTCCGGGGGGGGGAAGCCCCCTGGGGGAATCGAACTCTCAACCTCGGGCTCCGCAGGCGGAGACCTCAACCCAGGAGCTATCCAGCCAGCTCCCAGTCCTAACCCTGCTGAAAAGTTCGGCGAGCGCGCCGCGCGGCCTCTATGGATCCCGCCCCCCGGGGGGGCTTTCAGCTGCGGGCCCTGGCGGGGGCC